GTATTAAAAAAAAGAAAAAAAAAAAAAGAAAAGTAATGTACTTCTCTCCCAACACATAAAATCAGGGCCATCAGAAAAAGTGCTTTGAAAACTACAATAAATACTAACCACAACAATAGCTGACAACTAAGGATTGCGTGAGTCCTTTATGAAAAAGTTTACTATATTACACACGAAGGAGCATCTTTGTTCTATGATGGTATTTCTATTATTTATATGGAGAATTGAATCTTTTATCCACACCCTTCAAATATGGTAATATTTGATAAGTCCTATGGCTCCCCCCCCCCATTATTTTCTATGCTTCCATTCCAGAATTTGAGACTAAATGCCACACTGAAATGCTGATGGGGTTACCTGGTGCGGGGCTCTGGGTGGGATGGTCATTTCCTTAGCTAGAAAATGGCCGCCAGGGTGAGACCATTTCAAGTACCAGGTGGTGGATAAATATGCTGAAGAGAGAAGACTGGAATGCCAGGTTAGATCTAGAACTCTAGCAGCTTGGTGGGGCACTCTCTTGGCCTCCAGGCGGAGGGACTTCCAAGAGGAGGGCAGACCTCAGGGCTGTCGCCCTGGTGTTCTCTGGACTGTTCATGCTCTTTTGAAAGGAAGGACAACCCTAGGAGGACCCCAGGCTAGAGGGGGTAGGCAGAAGTACTTTGAGCATGGTGATGGGCAAGAGAAAGGGGTCAATGTTGTGAAAGCAAGGGGCTGTGATTGCGAGCATTACTCGGTTCCTAGCCCTGTTTCTTGAAGATATGGCCAATGTGACCTCTGCTCTGAGAGGCAGCAGAGATGTGCCCTGGTGGCATTCTGCTGCGGTCACTAGCCAAGTCAAAATATCAGGGGTGCAATGGTCAGCCTCCAAGAGTCCAGAGATGATGTCCTGCCTTCTCCAGTTCTTGGTGACATGCAATCATTGCTCTCTCTTTCTTTAATTGGTTCAGTTCTGGCCTTCATGGACATTCTGATCATTTCCATTGTCTAGGTTGAGAGGCAGTTCTTGCAAGAGGCAGTTCTACTAAGGTATCTGATCCACGAAACACAAGGCTTGAATTGGGAAGAGCCTGGAGTGACAGGTTCAACTGCGTTCCCAAAGAACCTATAAAGGTCCGAATGACAATTGCAGGCTTTTTATATGTCCATTTATAGAACCCTTCAGGAACATTTCAGGAACAAAAAAAGATAGGCTTGAGTCCAAGGGGCCCCTGAAATAATGTTTGCACCAGTCCTCTTGGCTAGACTCACTTCCACCTTAATTTGAGAAACCCTCGGAGATCATTCTCCCCAGCTCTCCCTGGACTCCTGCCCACGCACATCCTCAGTGATGGTTTCTTTGGCCTTGACTGTGAAAGTGACTTCCCAGGGCTATAGGCACTAATAACCAGATAGCTAAAGTCCATATTGAGAAGAAATGTTTGGTTGAATTCCTAAGCTTCCTGGGCTGGGAAAAAAATCAGGGCATCAGGTTGAAGGTCTATTAGGAGACTCCACTGCCCCCAGGAGTATAAGTGGGGCTCTGGGCAGCTGGGAGTGCCAGGGGCCTGCATTCTGGCCTGACGAGGGGCTCCACAGGGCTGGCCAGGGCAGTGGGGAAAGGGGAAAAAGGGGTGAATCAGCAAGCTGGGGTGGTAGCAGAAAAGCAGGCACAGAATGTCCCTGCATGGGTGGGGAAGAGCAGCTGGACTGTGGCTGGAAGTCTGAGACGGGTGAACCCCCAGGGCTGCCTGGGACCAAGTCCCTGCTGAGGGGCCTGGAGAGCCTGCGCAGAATTGCTGCTGGGCAGCTGGATGGGGCCAGGCTGGGGCAGAGACCAGGTGTGAGTGGGCCTGAGCACAGTGTTCTTCCAGCTGAATGTATTATTTTTTAAGCCAAATAGCAGCATCCTTCCTCCAGCCCCAAAAGGAAAAATCTCAGAGCAGCAGTGATTGCTCTGGTCAAGGACAAGGGAGGCAGGACAGGGACAGTGGGTTGAGAAGTGGGAGCTGGTGTGTTGAATTAAGAATTTGCAGACGAGGACGTAGTAGGTAAGGATGTACAAGTCACCCACGAGGGGTTGGCAGGCATCTCCCTCAACATCCAAGATTCCACCTTGGTGAAGTAAAACCCATACTCTGAGGCAGTTTCAGTACCACCACAGTAGAGTCACAATATTTACTACTTACAGAGTCCAGAAGCAGGAGGGTGGGGAGCAATGAGCTGGGGGAAGGGCAGGATAGACAGAGGTGGCAGGCACCTATTACTTATAATGTGGCTGGGGCCAAGGTCTCTGTCTTCATTTTTCATGGGCTTAACTCTAAGAGGTTATTTTATTAAAAAAAAAATTTTTAAGACTTATTTTATTAATTTATGCATTCAAGAACTGGGTCCAGGCCAGAGGTGTGGAGTGGGGGGTAGGGATTCACCAGACACAGAGTGGGGAGCAGAACAGGTGGATCTACTGAAATATACTGCTGAGGGGAGCAGCAGGTAAGACAGGAGAGGTCTGCTGCGCCATGTGGATCAGCTCCCTGGCCAGGGATTGAACTTGGGCCACAGTGGCTGGTGATAGCTTGATAGCACTGAGACTTAACTCCTGTACCACCAGGGAGGCCCTCTAAGGGGTTATTTTTATTTTTGCTTCTTAAAGATTTATCTATTTATGCATACAAGAACTGGGGTGCAGGCCAGAGGTGCAGGGGGTGAGAGGATTCACCAGAGACAGAGTGGGGAGCTGAACAGGCAGATCTACTGAAATACACTGCTGAGGGGAGCAGCAGGTGAGACAGGAGAGGTCTGCTGCGCCATGTGGGTTGCTCCCTGGCTGGCCAGCAATCAGGCTGCAGACAGCTTCACAGTGCCATGCCCAACCCTTTGCACCACCAGGGAGGCCTAAGGGGTTATTTTAAAAGGTGCCCAGGAAAAACAAAGCTGGCGCTGAAGGGAGGGATGCTAAATTCAAGCCCTGATCTAAATGTCCACACTGGGCGGGAGTAGGGTTATCACACTGTAAAATGCAACTCAGCGAGGTCTTTCTCCTTGCAATTGACCCCGTGACATTCATTTTTAGGGAAAAATCCAAGGTCCTGTCTGGACAGGAGCTATTAAAAGTCACCAACAGAGTTCTGGTCACTCAACACAGGAAACATTTGAGCAAAGCAAAATTGCCAGTCAACGGTATCACCAGACAAGCGACAGTTGGAAAATAACCAAACTCCTCCTCCCCACCATGTGTTGGAATCCAGCTGAGAAAATTAATCAAAGCCTTCTGATAAGGTTAAGGCAGGTATCTGATTAAAGACTCAGGTGAGGTTAAAGAATGCCTGTACCTGTTGGTACAGGCCTTCTTTTATTAATGCCTTCTTTTATTAATTGCTCCAGATAGGCCAGTGGTGCCTCTACTGTGATACACTCCTTGCTTGGCAAACAGTACTCTAAAGGTAAACACGATCCAAAACTACCTGTGCTCAAGAACCACGTGGCCGTAGCAAGAAAGTCAGGCTTCCGTGTAACACCCCGTGTGGCCACCGGGGCGCTGACAGACTAGTTGTTGCATGCCAGTGCGGTGGCTGTCCCTGTAAGGGGTGGTAGCAAACCTCCTCCCAGTGTGAGGATGAGTTCTGCCCATTTCTGACCCGAGGGGGCAGAGACAGCCTGGGCTCCTGCTCTGTGATTTAAGGGTAGTCCCACAAACACAAATACACTGGGGCCTCCCTGGTGGCACAAGGGGTTAAGTGTCAGCACTACGAAGCTATCGCCAGCCACTGCAGCATGAGTTTGATCCCTCAATCTCTGGCCAGGGAGGTGACCCACATAGCACAGCAGACCTCTCCTGTCTCATCTGCTGCTCCCCAGCCTCTGGTGAATCCTCTCACCCCCTGCACCTCTGGCCCAGTTCTTGCATGCATAAATATTAAAAAAAAAAAAAGTACATTGGCTGGACAGGGATTGCTGGGGCCTGCAGGCCAGAGTTGTGCTGGAGGTTGAAGGAAGGAGAGCCCATCTGGAGAACAACAATGTGACAGTCCCAGGCACTGGACACACAGGGGCCACCAATTGCGAGACTGGGGAAGTGTAAATAAATTGGGGTTCCTCTGGATGACTGGGAGTTGTGCTCCCTGGGATGAGGTGGAGCTGCTGGTGCCTGGGCAAATATGGATATAAAGGGCACAGGGGGACGCCTGCCAGGCACCACCTACCGTACTGCACTGTCCGGCACAGGAGCGTTGCACACCAAAGAGCAGCCAGGCGAGCTGCACAGACACTTTGGGTGCCTTTGGGCCAATGGGGACTAGACCACCAGCTCAGGACACAGCCTTTGTTGAACTAGCAATGTGGCCAGCAATTATGGCAGCCTCAGAAGTGAAGGGCTGCCCATTGTATGAAAATACAAAGGCTGCTGGAGGGCTTGGATAAGTACCGTGGAGCAGAGTGGGGACAGTGGGACATGTCCACCCAGGGTGCAGGGAGGGCATGGTGCGACACTGGTGGTGGCAGCATCCACAGCACGTGTCCTCCCAACAGGGAACTTGCAGTGGGGAGCAGAGTGACCTATCCCACGTGCATGGAAAAGGCAGGCAACTGAGTGTTTGAAGGGCTCCATAGGTGGTGCAGTGACGTGCCCCAAAGTGCAGCTGAGAGCAGGGTGGCAGTTAGGCTCGCGCACAAGCAGGAGTCATGGTAGCACTGGGCTAATCACTTAGTTACTAACTCTGCAAATGCCACTCAAAGGTCAGCCTCAGGGTATTTAGGTAAACAGTGTTCAGTTCAACAAACAACTATGAGCCAGAGACACATTATGGGGAGGGGGCGGGGAAAGGAGGGATTGGGGTCAAAATAAGGGGTTGGCAATTGTATGAGGACTATAAAAATAAAATTAAAAAACAAAACAAAACCGTGTTCAGTTCAGCAACCACATCTCCAGTGCTTGCCATCAACGGCTGCGGCATCTCTCTTGGCGTTACCTGTTAATGTAGTAGGTTGCACAGGCAGCACCTGGGGTAAAGTCACGTCCAGCGACATCACGGGCTGTGTTGCAGCAGGTGGAGGGAGCCACCCAGAGGGTGGCTGGCTCTCGTAGGCAGTCACACAGGAGAGGGACTGAGGGGAATGACAGGTTTGCATTTGGGGGATGACTAAGCCGCAGGGGTGAGAAGCAGCTTGAGAAGAGGTCCGTCTCCTGCCCCAACAGATGTGCTGGCCATAGACACTTGACCCCTCCAGAGCCAGTGACAGTGTCCTTTGCCTCTCAGTAAGGAAAAACTCTGCACAGGAGGGGGCTCTTTATCCTGTCCAGGGCAAGGGTTGGGGTGCACAAGGACAGCCACACACCACTGGAGTTCAGACTGTACATCCAAAGGTTTTTATTCCCTAGGAACAAAGACATGTGGGAAAGAAACTCCAAAGGGAATCAGGACCACAAGTCATAGAATGACACAAGGGTGGCGTGGCTCAGGAATCGGATGGATGACACACTCCACAGTGGACCGGTCATGCCCTGGTTTCTTGGATTAATACCTGCCCTGTGCCCCAAGGGGGGGTGGGGGCGGCAGTGGGTGGAAAGCTTCTGAAACTGACACAAAGGAGATGAATGTACGAACGTACCTGTCTAGTTGAGGAGGCCTCTTGGAAATACCAAAACCTCCCTCTCAAGAATAGAGGTAGACAGATAGGAATGAGGGGGGTCTGGGTGTCACAGACAACCAGAAAGGAGTCCCAGGGACCCTCTGTGGCTGACAGAATCTGTGCTTTCCTGCTAACCGCAAGGGAAGCAATAGCTGGCCAGGGCAGCTTCGAGAAAGTCAAACTTGCCAAATTGGGCCCCAGAGCAGTTAAAGCCTGTAATGCTGTTTCTATTCATTTGAGTAAGAAGCCATTTTCCTTTTCCCAGAAGATTCACTTCTGTCCCCTCTTCTGGCAAAATCTTGCCCCCTCCAGGCCTAGTCTTCTAGACCAGACTGACATTGGGCAAGAAAAACCTTGGACCCTTGCATTTCCCAAGACATGACAGTTTCTATGGCAGTGAGAACCCCTAAGAACAAGGTCTTCTGGTGTGGGTTAAGTCATCCAGTCCTGCACCTGCAAAACACGTCAAGTAACTCATTGCTGCACCAAGGGTGGCCTCTGGGCCTGAGCCTCAGGTCCAGATCACAGGGAGGTCTCCTGGAGAATGAAGGTGGGGCTGCTCCCCTGCTGGGCTGAGCCTTCCTCAGGCACTGCCACCGCCTCCTTGTCCCTCAGCATCCCATTACTCATCTTCTCCGGAAACATAGTGTTGTCCACGCAGATGTCCTAGGAGCGGCATGAACATGAAACAAGGGGGTGATGGAACTCATGCAGAGAGTGGGGAAGACCCCAGTTTAAGCTCTCCCAGCAGAGAGATCAGCAAGGAGTAAGGGAAGCACAGGGGCAAGCCAAATGGCAGCGGAGGGGAGAGGAAAGGCCAGCAGGCCGGCACCAGTGCTCCCCGATGGCAGGAGCTGGACAGCTGCTGTGGGGCAGTCCAGACTCAGGCAATGACCAGAAGAAGGGGTGCTGGGTGGAGGAAGCAAAGGGATGGAAGGGAACCTGGAAGGTCGGTAGTATCACTCAGAGGAGAGGGGACATTAGGGACAGAAGTACTACCTGGCTGCAGCTTCTGCAGTTAAGTCGCTTCTGACAGGACAGGGGCAGGAGGGCAAGGAGTCTGGGCACCACTGGGTAAATGGTCCGAGGGTTCAGGGTCCGGCCACGCATTCCCCCTGAAGGCAAAGGTGCTGCTGAGTCTACTGAGTCACCAGCACACACCCCGACAGCCCTCTGTTCTGTCTGTCCTCGGGGTTCCAAGACTCTAGTCACCCCCTCACCAACCAGAACTCAGCCAAGAAGCCTGACAGGTACAGACCCCCAGGACCCCACAACCCTCTGAGCTCCAGTGTCCAGACACCCTGAGTGCCCTCCTGAAGCCCATCCTATTTCTATGGCCCATCCCACATGCCCTCACCGGTGAGAAGACTGATAGTCAGGCCCACCACAATGACCGTGGTGGAGTTGTGAGCGCTGTACCATAAGTACGACAGAGAGTAGAGCCGCTGCAGCCCTGCAGGCCTGGGGAGGACAGATGGGGGAGGACAATCAGCAATTCACTGACAGGGCATTTCTCAGGTACTGGCTCCCTACCAACCCCATCCAAGACCTAGGGTCTCGAGACCCAACATCCAACTTTTCCCTCAGGCTTCCGTGATCCTTCCCTTAGCAAGGCCCTGAGGAATCCCTCATAAATGAGCTCATTCCCCTAGAAGAAAAAACTCACTTGGAGAGGGTGGTTGTGGGCATCAGCGTGACAGCAGTGAGATTGCTGGGCAGGGAGAAGCTGGACCCGTTAGGGGGAGAGGGGACCATGCCAGCGCCCATGCTGGTGACGATGCTCCCAATGCCGATCCAGAAGGCCATGGTGAGTCCAGCCAACAGGCCCACGATGGCACCCTGCCCAGGGACACAACACACTCCCCTATCACAATGCAGCCGACCAACCTTCATGCCGCTCCCAGCACTTTCCCCAGACCCAGCCCAGCCCGTGGCAACAAGATCACTCACAGCAGGGTTGGCACAAGGAAAGAACATCCCAAGGCAGAAGAGTCCAAGCAGCGGCCCCCCAACCATGCCAAAGATGCTGATGGCTGCCTACAGAGGACAGGGTTGAGGAAAAGAAACACACACCACCTCAGAGGCCCCAGCCTCACCAAACAGATAGCACAGCCAACTGCCACTGCCTCAGAGCCCCACCTGTCAGCTCTGCCTGCCTGTCTTCCACCCAGAATGATCAGAACAAAGGGTGCCTGAGGGCAGGAGTGGCTGCTCTGGGCGCCCCCCTGAGGCGAGCCTTAGAGCTGAGGCTACAACATCCCAGGAGTGACCCTGGGATTGCAGGCCACTTGAGAGCCTGCTCACAGCTGGAGGTGGTCCATCAGAAGGGAATTCAACCCCTGACCCCTACATCATTCTCTTCACAATAACTGTCTTTCTCTATTTCCTGTCTCAAACAGCTCCTTTTCTCCCTTAAAAATTGCTTTCTTCCCTCCAGTCATTACCTGCAGCACGGGTCCCATCTGGGAAGAAATATAGGCCATTCCCAGACAAAGCAGCCCATAGCCAAAGGCTGGGGAGAAAAAAGGGAGGAAAGCAAGCAAATGTGAGTCAAAATAGAAAGGGGGGAAAACAGAGCAAAGCTCTTCCCCCAACCAAACCACAACCTCCGGAGAGCCTGGAAACAGCAAGCTATTTCACGCCCCAGCAGGTTCCTCCAAATCTGTCCTCCCTCCTCGGTGACTCAGAGCCCTCCCTGGGAAAGGCCCTGGGACATAAACAGGCTGTGTCTCCACTCGGCAAACAGGCCAGGCTAAAGCGGGTGCTTTGACGCAGACGGACATGCATGACGGCACGGCTGAGAGAACCTGACTGAGGAGAGAGGAAGCATATCCCACCGAGGAATCTGGAAAGCATGGTGGCCTGGAATTCAGAGAACTCAGGGAACCAGGGCCGGATCAAGTCTTCCATCGTAACGGTTGCCAGTGAATTAAAAGCAGAGGAGATAGTGCTGGAAGGAGAAAGAGAAGACAGCGCTGTGCTGAGTCTGGGGGCCAAGAAAGCCACACGGAGAAGGGGCCCGATGGGGGGAATGCCCTAACGGGTGATGACCTGTGTGGCCAAAACTGCCCTCCCAGTGGGAGACCACCCGAGAGGTGGCTACGAGGGCCAGGCCATGTGTCCGCTCCTGAGTGGGCAGAGGTCAGGCGGACTCCCAGGATTGTAGAAGAATCTGTCAACATAACGGGGGCCTCCCAGGAGAGGTTCTGCTCGACACACTGTCCACACAGAAGTGCTGTCTGAGGCACTCACAGAAAGGGGACAGTGAGAAACTCAGAGGCATCCCCTCCACCCACCACCTGTGACAAGTAGGGGTGACATGCACCAACCCCGAGGGAAAAGGTCACAAAGGTTACCTGAGGGAGCCACTGAAGAGGCAGGCAACAAAGAGCCCAGGCAGGCCTGGCAGGTCTTTCAGGAGGTCCATCACAAAATACAGGACAAACTGTGAGCAGAGCAGGGGTGCCGGTTCTCCTGAGAGGAGCCCCTCCCCAGGAGAGAAGTGTGGACAAAACCCCCAAAGGTGCCTTGGCCAGTCGACAGAGACTGCACGCATCAGGAAGGGGCCAGGCACAGAGAGCGACCCCACAGTGGAGTGATGTGGTTGGCCCAGCCCGGCCCTGACTGGCAGTGGACTTGAACAAGCCGACCAGCTTGTTAAGCCTTTCTCCTCCATAAGGTGAAGCCATTGGAGGGTTAGAGGAGACAGGGGCCCAAAAGCTCCCAGCAGAGCTGAGTGCTGGGAACACAGTGGGGGAGTCAGTAGAGGAGGGACCCCTTGAGAAGGGTAATCAGGTGACACCAGGGACTGGGATCCTTGCAAGCTAGCTTGCTAAAACCCCAGAGGGAGAGGATTTCATATCCATTTCCCACCAAGCTAGGAGTCCTTTTTGCAACCACCAGAAGCTCCCCTTGGGGGCCCAAACTGGTCTCTCGTTGGTCTCTCAAGCGTACAGAAGGGGACTAGGGAGTCTCCTCACCTGGTCAGGGGCTGCCTGACTCTGTTGGGTACTCATGGGATACTCCTGGTAATAGGCGAACATGACCAGGCCAATGAGGCAGCCCATGCAGAGGACTACCTGCTGGCAGGGGAACACCGCATAGCAGGAGCTGCAGGAAAGATCAGTGCCAAGGGAGAGAGGGTGTTAACAGGCCACGAGGCACATCCTTGAGCCCCCAGAAAGTAGACCCATGTTCTGTCCCCACCCCAACTGACTCGGTGGAAACAGGGCCATTCCCTCCCTCCAGACCTGGCTCCCCACTCATCCCCTGCACTCACAGCACCGCAGCCTTCTCCGTGCGGGAACTGAGATAGCGCTGCACCTGGGCCTGGTTCACCCCGTATAAGGAGAGCATCATGAAGACTCCCCCAAAGGCCAAGGTCCAGAAAGTGTGCCGCACAAAAGGATCTGGATCCAGCCTGCGACAGATGCCAAGGCTCACTGCCACAGCCCTAGACTCGGCCTTCCTTACCCGCCTACGACAGAGGTCAGAGGGGAGCAGACACTACCGAGAGGGCCACGCAGCTATTGAAGGCAAAACTCAGGCAGACTCAAGAGGTAGTGCAGCAATTTGGAAAGAGGATCCAGGTGATCCCAGGTTCTAAATCTATGCTGACCTTCCTTAACCAACAACCAGACATGTGTGTCCACCCTTCATCTCCTTAGCACACTGCCCAGCCCTCTCAGTGCTGGCCCTGAGGCTTCCATAGCATGCTCTCTGCTTCCCACAGCCTGCACTTGGGCCTGAAGGTAGGCTCAGCTCCCAGCACAATAGACCCCAGGCAGGGGAGGGGGTTACTTACTCGATCCCAGAGATGCGGCCGTGCTGGGAAGCCACATCCCACACGTGCCCCATGCCGCCCACCTTGGCTGACCCGACGATGATAACTGCCAGTTGCCCCAGGAACATGACCAGCGTCTGGAACACATCTGTCCAGATGACGGCCTTTAGACCACCCTGCAGAGGAAAGGCGGCGCACATTACAGAGGCCTTCCAAGCAACCCACCAGGGAAGACACTGACCCACCGGTGAGGGCCACACCACTGCAGGCGGCAACAGCCAGGACGCTTAGACATTCCCACCCTGTGCCTGACTGCACGTGCCATACAACACGTCCTACATCCCACTCCCTGCCATTAACCCCTCCTGTCTCCCGCCGCATTTCATTCCACCCTAGACTTTCACCCCTCTCCCCCCTATATTATCTTACCCTCCTAACTCACCTCATTCCTTCCTTGCCATCTTCTCCCATGTCCCCTCTTCCACCTCTCTCCTCCCTCTCCTGAGTCCTCTGTACTTACCAGAGCAGTATAGATGGTGCAGACGACGCCTAAGGTTAGCACTGACAGCCACAGATCAAAGCCAGTTACTGCAACAGAGAAAAGTCACAATCTGGTCTTTGGAAAAGGATTTATCAGTCAGGAAGCCTGAGGAATTCTGGTAAAGGAAGCCATGTTCATGTTGCAGACATGATGTATTTGATCACTGAGGATAAAATAAATCATTCAGCACAATGGGGGGGGGGAGTCCATAAAGCGTCACCAAAAGGTGTTAACTAACCACTTCGATGGGGCATGAGGTGCGGAATAATGTGATTAGCTGTCAAGCGAGGTGAACAATACCTATCTCTGGGAGAGAAAGCCAAGGGCCCAGGCAGTGAGGCAATTCCCTGGCTAAGGTCAAATTCTTTCCTGCCCCTCCCTAAGGTTTTTCCTGGCCTGTCTCAACTGGGAGTCAAAGACTACGACTTCTCACCTGCATTCAGGGCCAATGACGGTGCATAGAGTACAACCCCCATGTAGATCACCTGTTGGCATGGAAGAGGGACGTGAAGAGGAGAGATGAGAGTAGGCAGACAGGAGGAAGGGCAGACCTCTGCTCAGAGGTCCCAATGGCCTCCCTTCTCTTAGGCTAACTTTCCTCGCCTTCCAAATTTTGGCTTGCTGCCACCATAGTATCTGTGCTGGAAGGGGAAGTAGGATGCCTCTGAGGGATTTCTGTGACACTGACCCCTAGAAGGAGTTTCACTCTGCCAGGCAACCCTCCACCACCTCAGCAAGCCTTCCCTGCCATACACCATGTTCAACCTCCATCTTCATTTCACTTACCATCTGAAAGATGAAGGTCACGGTCCCACAAACCCGCACGGCTTTATTGAATCGGAGCTCCAGGTACTAGGCAGGAGCATAGAGGGAAACATGGTATTCCTACCCATTCCACTCCCTGCCCACCCCCAACTCACATATGGCTTCCCTCAATAGGTCCAAGAACATGAGGTAATAAATATCCAGTTCATATTGACGCTGGTCCCCCCTCAGCATTGCATCCTGGTCCCCTGACTCCCTGCTCCTACCCCACATTGCTATGCCCCATTTCCACCAGAAAGTATTTGTGAATACTCGGTATGTTCCCCAGCCTTCTCCTTAGGCAGAGGAAAGCCAAGGATCCAGGTCCTCCCCTCCGTCCCTGCCCCACTGCTCCTCTGTGTTCCGCCCTTCTCCCTCACTCACCTCATAGGCACTGGTGAGATGCAGGCGGTAGAAGATAGGGATGAAGATGTGTGCTGGGATCAGTAGTCCCAGAAAATAGGAGCAGCCCAGGAACCAATACTGGGTCCCATATAGGTAGATCTCGGACGGCACACCCAGGATGGCCACTGCCGACTGGAAGGTGGCCAGCAGGGACAGCGCCACTGGGAGACAGCCCATTTTTCGGTCCGCCATAAGCAGCTGGCCAACGGTATGCTGGCCCCAGCCACGACAGGCATGGTAGAGCCCGATTGCAAGGGAGAGAACCAGCAGTAGGACGAAGACCACATAGTCCACGACGGAGAAGGTAGATGTCACCGGGCTTGTGTCTGAGGTTGGGGGGAGGGGAGTGGAGGTGCTCCCCTCGACATGCATATCCTCGCTGTGTCTGTGGCCTACAGCCACTTGCTGTTCCCAGACTGTGGGATGCCCCTTGGTTGGGCAGAGGTGGGCAAGTGGCTTCAACCTGGCTCCCAGCCACGGTCTCACAGTCCCCCTCTGCTACCAAGTGACATCATCCAGGGTGAGCTGCAAAGGAATAAATCCCTAGTCAAGCCACCCTGCCTTCCCGGCTGCCACACCATGGGTCTCTGTGCCTACACCCATCAAACTTGGAACAGCCAGCTCGCTGTCACTCCTTGAAGGCCTAGAGATGCCATATGGGTTCGGTGGGGCAGGTAAGGGAGGGAAGAAGAGCACAGTGAGGCAATCAGGAGACAACTACTTGGCCAATTTGGGTGTGAGTGGTTGTGATTTCTGAGAACCTTCGTAGGTCTCCACCCCAGTATTAAGAAAAATCAACTGCAGCCCATACTTCAAGAATTCCCTGCCCCCATTTGCAGGCACAGACCCAGTGACTACAATGCACTAAGCCAGAAGGGCCCAGCCTGGCGCCACAGCCCAGCAGGGAAGAAGAAATAAGAGAACAGGCTTCCTCTATTTCCCCTGGTCTCAGCCCCTGATTCCCATCATCCTCTGTGTCACTTCCTAGCAGTACCCCTTCTCAATACTGATCACCAGGGAGATCACCTTCAGGGAAGCCCTGGACTCCATTCTGGGCATCCCCAACCAACTACTCTGGGCGCCCCCCCTCCACTCCAACCACTAGATAAGTCCTGCCACCCCCTCTTGTGCCCTCCACCTGTAACACACAGTTAATAACAAACAGATCCAGGAAGAGTGGTGGGATTCAGAAGTGAGAGGTGTGAGGTGAGAGAGCTATGCGCTGGAGCCAGGGTTCAAAGTGATAATTACAGGGTCATCCTGGAGAGAAGCAATGCAGCCAGGGAGTTGGGGGGCAGGGGGGATAGACAGGGAGCATGGTTCTATCCCGCTGGGGCAGATACCTACCTAGAGAAGTAATCCCTGTTCAGAAGCAGAGCTGCCTGGAGAAGCTGTGTGTGTCTGAAGCTGGGCAGAGTCTGAGGGTCTGGTGGATAGAAATGAAGTGAGATCAGGAATTGGGGGCAGACTGTAGCGCTACAGCTATTTGCTCTGGCTCCTTTGAGGAACCAATCGCTGTGATCCAAATGGCCCTATCACCCCCAGATTCCAGCTCAGTCCTAGAGGCTCCAGAATGGGGAGCAGAGAGCTCATAATTCAGCAGCATTCCTAGATGGATTAGGCTTTCACTGCAAGTCATACTTGGCACCGTATGCTGGAGGAAACTAGAAAGGAGGAGCTGAGAGAACATGGGAAAGTTGCTTTTTTGACTCCTGCACAAGAAATACTAATCCTCAAAGAATATACCACTATCCTCCAAACAAGGACAGGATCATAGTACAGACCTTCTTCAACCTTACGATGGGGTTAGGCCAGGGCGATCCACCCTAAACAGAAAATAACAGTAAATCAAATCTGCTGACCGGGAGTCACCTGCTCACTGCCTCGCCCAGCCCCACACCCAGCCTCACACCATGATTTACTTGAATGTTTACTGTTTACATACCATCACAAAGTAAAAAAATCTAAGTGGAACTACCATAAGACAGCAACCATCTGCATTTCAAAACCTACAGAAATCTTGAGGTCACTATTACAGTCCTCATGTTTATAAAGACAGAGACTCAGATGACTCAAGTGATCTTTCCAAAACCACACAGCTGGTTACTGATAGAGGCTACATGAAAAGCCAGGTCTGGTGATTCCCCATCCATCTGCTCTCCATTTATAACGTCCTGTCTGTCTTTAGAGGCTATTTCCTGGGGTACCTATTGGTATGGGGAAAAAGTACCAGAAGATGCATACCCTAACATGATAACAGTTAACATTTTTTGAACACCTGCTGTATAACCCTATAAAGATTAGTGATCAACAAGTAAGGAATTACAGCTGTTACTTTCAACACAACACTAACGAAGGTATGCACTTTACACAATCACTCAAGAGTTCTCCAGGAGACTGAGATTTACCAAAGTGAATCAATTTGCTTAAGGTTACACATAATACAAAACAAAGGAGAAAGATACAGTGCCACCTGAAGGTATGAACAGTGATTCACCAGGGTTTCTGTCCTCATTACTTCCAAAACCAAAGCAGCAGAGTGTTAATTGTAGTCAATCATTCCTAGACAAAGTTTAGATTTCAACTAATCTAGAGACAGATTAATAAAAGCTATGTCTCTGTTCTTGCCCATTAGGAGAAAGATCAGCCTGGCTTCCAACTCTCTCACACTGTTCTTGGGGAGATTTTGCCGGGCTGACAACACTAGCCTCACGCAGACCAGACTTGGAACTCTGAACCTCCTGGGGCCAATGAAGTGAAAAATCACAATATGTGTCATATATTCTACAGAGTCACAAATGTTAGTCCCCAGAACAATGTTCCCAACAGGTCACTCTAGTTTAACCTAGAGATGCCCTGGGCCTCTGCACATTTGAGTATTCTCACCTCTTTGGCAAATTTTTACTGTTATGATGGGGATGATGAAACTATTGGAAAGTAAGGGAGATATCTGCTGTGTGCAAACAAGAATGTGCAGCGATTAAAGATAGGCAGGTCACTGAATAAGGGAAAAAAGGTCCAATATAGACTGGAACGCAGATGGACAGAAAAGGAGAACCACTATGGCTGGAGTAAACTGGCAGAATTCTATTTGCAAAAGGAGCAGAGTACCCTCTTCGGTGGCTTCAAGGCAAGATAGGAAACACCTGACATGATTCTAAGAACAGATAGGAGCCTTTTGAAAACCCTACAATGATCTAAAGCCAACAAGCTTTATGCCCCTGTGAGAGAGTCCAAGTCAGGCAGCTGAGCTGTTTCACTAAAACTGTCACACACAGGGCACAGACGTGGGGCTGTGGGACCTCTTTAGTAAAGTCTAACACACACAGAAAAGGAAGAGAATCATTCTCCAGCACTCTACTCCCACGCGCACTTCAGTCACAACGCTGAACTTAATTGCCTTGACTCCTACTAAAGGCAGAGGCCAGGCAGGTCCAACCACCCCGAAGGGTCCTTCAAAATCTGTCCTGGAGCCTAGGGTGCCTCAAGTCCAAAGGGCTGCAGGGCCTCACCGAAATGCTAATAACTACTAACACCTTAGAAAATGTGCCAGTCAGCTGAAAATAAAGCCTTTCAGGAGATTCCAGATACCTGGGGCTAAGTGGAAGGAAGGGAAGCTTGGCTCGAGATGAGCTCTGGCAAGCTTCGCGCCAGCCGGAACCAAAGGCAACACTCCGTCCCTGCCGGCGCAGCCCCGCGCCCGGTCGTCAGGGCCCCGGGCCACTTGGGGCAGCTTCTTCTTACCTCCGTGGCTAAGAAGGTCCCGCCGCCCTCCCTGAGATCAGCATCTCTCCCTTTTTCTGCAGAGGCAAAGGACACCAGGAGTGAGGAAGGCGCCTCTGCCGCCCCTACCCTTCGCCGGGGCTGCGGACGCAGCGCGGTGTCAGCCCTGAGGTGACGGGGACAGCGCGCCCGAGGTGTCCCCAGCTCGCCTCCTCCCGCCGGGCTTTGCCCTTCGTCCTCGCGCCTCCTTCACCCTCACCCTCCCTCCTCCCTGCCTCCCGCCCGCCCGCGAGGAGCGCGGGACCCCTACCACCGCGCCGCGGCACCCTCCGCTCCTCGCGGGCCCCCACGCCGGGGCCGGCTCGCCCCGCCCCCGCCTCTCTCCGCATCGGCCCACACGCTCCCGGCCCGCCCCCGGCCGGCCCACTTGCCGGGTTTCCACACGTGGGGCCGGCGACCGACGAGGAGCCGGGCCCGCCGCGCCCCGGCCGGCCCGCGGGGCCCCGCCCCTGCCCGCCCCCGCGCCGCCATGTTGCCTGCGGGCGCGGGGAGGGGGCGGCAGGGACGCGGACGCCGCGCCGGGCGCGCGGCGCTCAGGGCGGGGGCGCTGGCGGGAAGGCCTCGGCCGGGCGCGGAGGCGCCGCGGCGGGGGTCGGCCGGGCCTCCCGGACGCGGGCTGCGCGGCGCAGAGAAGGCGCGGGCCTCCGCGAGTGCGGCGGCGCCCGGCCCGCCCCGGGGCGACTGGCCGGGCCGGCGAGGCCACGCCCCGCGCGGCGGGGGCGGGGGCGGGGCCGGGAGCGCGGGTCTCGCGAGTCGCCGCGGACTGAGGGAGCGGAAAATGGCCCCTCGCTGGCCCGGCGGTCCTGGGACCCTGGTCCCCTGGGCTGCGGCCTTGCTCCTCGCGCTGGGCGTGGAAGGGGCTCTGGCGCTACCCGAGGTACAGCAGCAAGCTCGAGGGCGAGCTAGCAGGCCCGGCGGCCAGCCGCGGCCCCGCCAGCCGCCCCCGGCGCCCCCTGTCCCCGCCCGGCGCCCGCTCGGGTTTCTTCCCCGAGGCCTCGGGGGCCCCGCGGCAGCCCAGGCAGCTGCAGCCCCGAACTATCACGCGGCGCTGGGCCTCTGGCCTGCCAGCGTCCAAAGGCCTTTGAAACTTGACCTCCTCGTTCCTCAACCTTTGAATAACTAAGTTGTTCCTTGTACAGACACGTCCCCTGGGTGTTCTGCAAGCTCGCGGCGCACGAACGCCGCATTTTGAGCGGTGGCAGGACTGTCCTTCGTGCAATGCTTGATGAGGTCCTTGTGTTCCTTTATATCAGTCTGGGGCTGTCAGGTTGAGAAGTCACCGGAGAAAGCATAATATGTTTGATTAGTGATCCTCAAAGATAGAACTTTCTCTGGTACAGGAAGTGCCTGTTGCGCTGATTGGCAACTGGCCCTAAAGGAAGAAAGACATCTAGCCAAATCTGATATTAAAAAAAAAAAAAAAAAAGGTAGGACACTCCTCTCCCCTGTGTTGGATAATTCCAGAGAGGTGTTCTGGCAGTTAACTTTTCGTCCCTGTTCTTTTCTTGGCTTTTCTTTGTAAAATGCTAATATATTTCTGTCTTCTGCAGATATGCATCCAGTGTCCAGGGAGTGTACACAATTTGTCAGAAGTGGCCCATTACTGTAAGCAGAATCCTGTGGGAATGCTGCAAGCCCGCTGCTGCCTGAATCGGAAGGGCACCATCTTGGGGTGAGATGAAGAAATCCCTGGATATTGACAGTTCCCAAGCTGAAACGTCAAGGCTGGCCCAACTGGCTTTTAGGATAAATATTGGTGTCTAGTTTAGAAACATCAACACCATGATTCTCAGACTTCTAAATCTATCATAGCATTTTCAGCTTGCTAGAAAGCCCATTAGTTATCCTTGGTTGAAACACCTTAAAAGTGTTTTTCCTGTTTTAAAAAAAAAAACTTTTATGGCCCCGTTTTAAAATGAACATTGTTGTTTTGCATATTATCAAGTCTTTGGATTGTTTACTTTGTGTCTGAAATAACCCCCTTCGTCTTCAAGACGTGCTATTGTTTCCTTCCCTTTCTGATCAATTCATATTTGAAACAAAACTCTTCCTCTTGTTCCCTTATTCAGGTTAGTACTAAATTTGCCTGCCTTGAGAATCCACCTACTTTTATGACTTCAGCTTATAACTGTTGTAGAGCAACCGCGATACAAAACGGGGTGCCTGACTGTGGGTCCTCACCCGTGCGCTTAAAAGGACTTATCATTGCTCTACTGCAGGCACACGCGAAAGGTTAATAAAAGGTTTATTTACAAGGGAAGGGGAAATGAGGAAATGTACAGCTCAGGGAGAAAAGTGGGAGACAAAGTTTTAAATGACTCCTACCTGATCCGCCGATTAGGAATCCCAAAATGGCACTCTGAGAGCTGGCGGCCAGCCAGGAGCGGTGAAGCCAGGAGGCGAGCGATAGTGAGCCACCCCAAGGCCCACGTGTTTGGTTTTTATATCCAACCTGGCTGCCCAACTCCACCCTCAGGTACCAGCCACCTTCCCTTTGGTGGTGACGGGATTTGTCTTTCCCAGTATCTGATGGCTTTAGTCTGGAGTGGGGGTGGGGTCCACAAAGCCTGTATGGGATTAGCTCAGGACATCATTTCCCCCTAACAGGTACATGTGGATAACTCTCCTTCCTTTAAACATTCTCTCTTGAATGCACCCTCACTTCAGCCTCACATGACATGTCTTTCTTCCTTTTCCTCTTAATTTACCTAAATACCTCTTTTGTTACACTTTCTGAAACCTAAATTATTTCCGTTATCACTCTCTTGGCTGTAGCATTAGATTTCTAACTGTCTGTGCCCCCAGGATAAAGTTCAGGCCATGAGCTATCTATCACAAACTAGCCCCGACCCATCTTTTGGACATCCTTTCCAATTATTTGTCCACTCACATGGTCCATGAGGATCTGGCTTGAGCCTGCCTCCAAAGGTAATCCACCTTAATTTCTTTGGTCAGGCCACTCTCCATACCTGAAATTGTGTTCCAGCACCAAATTAATACATCTCCATCCTTTGATTCCAACTTCATTTTGTGAATGCTCCCTACTACTAAATAGCAAACTGGTAACATTTTTTACTTTCTCTAATCCTTAGTGTCTGTACCCCTCAAATTTATATACACTGGTAGTGTATATACTTATATACACCTCTGTGGCTTCTTGGACTGTGTAGAACAAGCAAATTAACATCGGATTTATAGGAGAAAAGAAACACAAATTTAATTACATGCATATTGAGAATTTACATTGCTGTAAGTTTTAAAGTAAATGGGATAGGCCAGGGTTTATATTCGTGAGCTAATGAATGGAATGGGAGTCTACCACCATTATTTCATGGAGAGAGGCGGGGTGTCTCACATGTCAAAAACAAATGCTCTAGATATTTGACATAGACCAGTGTCTTTGATAAAAAGATTGCTCCTGGAGATTACCCTAAATCTGGGAAATCTTCATTCTTTTTGTTAATGGTAACAGTTTCTCTTGAAGCCCCCAGGGCCTTGATTGACTTTAGTGCTACCTGCCAAGGTGACATACTGAAAAAAGCCTATCTGAACAATGTTGAGGAAAGCTATCCTTTGTCCTGTGATTTCTTTCATATTGTAATTTAGTGTTTATATTGTTAGTATTTTCTTTTAAAGATTTATTTATACATACAAGCACTGGGTACAGTTAGAAGCGCAGAAGGGTGAGAGAATTCACCAGAGCCAGAGCAGGGAGCAGAGCAGGCAGAAGGACCAAAGTACACTGCTGAGGGGAGCAGCGGGCGGCAGGAGAGGTCTGCACGCCATGTGGGACCCTCCTCCGGTGGCCGGGGTGGCCAGGGAGCAAACCGGTGCTGCAGAGGCTGTGGGCAGCTTTCCAACCCAGCGCTCAACTGCTGCGCCACCGGGGAGGCCCCTATATTGTTAGTATTTTTGGTGATGGTCTTATTCTCCTACTACATTGAAAACTAAGATGCTAAGGCTGTGTGTTTTTTCATTCTCCTAATTGTTGCTGTTAATTAGCCATCAGTAAATATTTGTAGAATAAAGGAACAGATAGCAGTAGATATTGATGGAAAATTATGCATCATGGTTCTTAATGTCCAGTAGTTTATATTCTGTGGTACAAAATATACTTGGAAAAAATTTTTCATTTATGGTGACTTGACAAGAAACACATTTCTTCCAATATATGCACAGATACATAATTCTATCCAATAGAATTTTCTCCCATGATGGAAATGTCTTGTATCTTTACTCTCCGGTGATACCACTAACTTCATGTTAGTGGTTATTAAATTCTTGAAATGTGGCTAGTACAAATGAAATACTGAATTTTTTAATTTAAATTAAGTAGCTATATGTAGCCAGTAGCAACTGAATCGGACAATGCAGGGTTAAAATATCTTGCATCTAGTGCATGGCACTGAACACAGCTATGTTCAATTAATATTAGCTGAATGGGGGGTTGTATTAGCTTACCATGGATGAAGAGAAGAGGGGCATATAGTTACACTAATGCTTTATTTCTTCAGGATAGATCTCCAGAACTGTTCTCTGAAGGATCCTGGACCAAACTTTCCTCAGGCATATACTGCTATCATCATGTAAGTTCTTAGTTGGCCTCCCCCTAAAAGGTGAATAAGGAAAAGGATTGATGGGAAGGTCTTTGAGGAGGGACTCCTAAAAGATGCATGAATGTTAATCACTAAACTTGGATCACTCAGAATGAACACCGATACCAGTCTAGGAAGATGTATAACTGGAAGTAGAGTGTTTTCCTAGGGCTCAGTACTAACAAGAGTATGCTTTTCAGAGATCTTCGAGAGAACCCCCTCAAGGATGACTTGGCTGGCACCTTCCGTGGCTTTACCCAGCTCCAGACTCTGTGAGTAAGGCTGTGGGTTGGGCAAGAGACGCTGAGAGGGCCAGTGCTGTGAGCTCAGCCACTTTGGGCTGCATATTGTGATTGCCTGTGTTACGTTCAGGGTACTGCCACCAGATGTCAAGTGTCCTGGAGGTATCAAAGCCTGGGATATGGTCACCATTTATAACGACAACCGAACCTGTCAAGGGCAGAAGAATCTTTGCAACAGCACTGGAGACACAGGTATACTGTCTCACCCCCATCCTGCTGGGAACTGCCTTTCCTCCCTTCTGTTCTCCATTTAACAGAAAGATTGTAAAGTGCCCTTTATTCTGGTTTCTGAGGTTCTAATCTCTTGGAAAGAAAAGGTCTTAAAATATATTTTTTATTGTTGTTGCAGTAGTTGTTCTGATTATCTGTATCTTCTACCTTTGACCTCAAATGGAGAGACTCTAACTTGAAGTAGATGTTTGAGAAACATATCTAATGAGATGCAGTGAATGTTCTGTTTCTCTCTGACTCCCAGAAATGTGTCCTGAGAATGGATCCTGTGCGCCTGATGGCCCTGGTCTCTTGCAGTGTGTTTGTGCTGATGGTTTCCATGGCTATAAGTGTATGCGCCAGGTGAGGCATTAGACCTTCAAATTGGAGATAAGAGAAATACACAGAGCCAGAACCCCTCTGAAAGAAGAGTCAGAGACCAGAAGCTGATGCAAATCATGTAGAGAAGGATACTAGGAGAATTGTTCTAGAGGAGGGAATGGGCAATACCAATAAAGTAGGAGACTTTAGTTTTTTTTTTAAAGATTTATTTATGCATACAAGAGCTGGGGTATAGGCCAGAGGTGTGGGAGGTAACAGGATTCACCAGAGACAGAGTGGGGAACAGAAGAGGCAGATTGACTGAAATACACTGCTGAGGGGAGCAGCGAGCGAGACAGGAGAGGTCTGCTGTGCCATGTGGGTTAGCTCCCTGGCGGGGGATCGACCTCGTGCTACAGAGGCAGTGGATAGCTTCACAGCGCTGTGTCTTACTTAACCCCATGCACCACCAGGGAGGCCCATAGGCTTTAGTTTTTGGTGTGATGCTGAATGAGATTTTTTGTTCTGTTATTCACAGGGTTTTTTCTCACCGCTTCTGTTCTTTGGGATTCTGGGATCCACCACATTATCCATCTCCATCCTGCTTTGGGGGACTCAACGCCGAAAAGCCAAGGCTTCCTGAACCGTATATGAGTCTTCCTACAGACCTAAAGGTCATCTTGGGCTACCCTAGCCCAGCCAGGGAGATTTGCTTCCTTGACAGGCATCGTTGGTCCACGAATCCTCAAGGTTGAGGGCGCCATTGGAAGGAAGACATAAAATTATGCAAGCCGGTAGTGCGGTGGGCACCCCCAGCCAGGACTGGACTAGTAGCAGTTCCTACTTGTGCTGTTAACTGTAATAATAAACACCTGGTTCTTCGTTCTTTTCTTTTTTTAGGGAAAGGCGCCCTGGCTTTGTGTGTGTCTGGGTTGTGGTGGGAGAGGGCCTGGGAGGAGCGGGCTAGATCTTCCAGGTTTCCCCGGCGTTTCCTCGCCCGCCAGGACCGCCCGGCCGCCCCGCCCCTTACGTGCCCGGCCCCGCCCCTCACGCCGCCCGCAGCCCGCGCCGCCGCAGTCGGCCGCCGCCCAGCGCGCCCGCGATCCTGCGCCCTGCGCGCCGCCCGCGCTGCAGCCTCCGGCGCGGTTGGCCACGTGGACCCGCCCGGGCGCGCCGTCCTCACGTGGCTCCGGCACCGGCTGGGGCGTGCTGCGTTTCCCGCGTCTCCGCTCGCCCCCGCCTCTGAGCTGCGTCCCCATGGCGGCCCTGGTGCTGGAGGACGGGTCGGTCCTGCGGGGCCAGCCCTTCGGGGCCGAGGTGTCGACTGCCGGGGAAGTGGGTAAGCGAACCCGGCCGGCCGCCGACCTCTTCCCACTCTCTGCTGCCCCTCTCTGCCCAGTCCGCCCTGCCCGGACCCTGCCATTTTCCTGCCTGGACCACCCCCACCCCCCACCCAGTATCCGGGCGCGTGGTCCCCAGCCCCTCTCATCCCTCTCGATCAGAGCAGCCTCCGCCTGGACCCCCGCGTCTCCGGGGGCAGTGTTCCGAAGAACGCCCCGCCTGAGCCCCAGCCCCGCCTCTCTTGCAGTGTTTCAAACCGGCATGATCGGCTACCCCGAAGCCCTGACTGATCCCTCCTACAAAGCACAGATCTTGGTGCTGACATACCCTCTGATTGGCAACTATGGCATCCCTCCAGATGAGGCGGATGAGTTCGGTCTCAGCAAGGTAGCCACGCCCATTGCTTTCTCTAAGTTCTTTTCAAATCGGACTGTTGTTGCAGGGAAGGCTTTGACATTATAGTAGGCATCCTGGAGAGAAAAGATACACTGGAGTGGATTTTTACACAGAGGCAGGGCCTTTAGTACTTTGTTATGCTAGAAGTGCTGGAGACCAAACCGGCGTTGGTGAGGAGCCAGTGAAGACTTTTTAGGGAAGATTTTTCTGACGGGCAGTCTTATGGTGAATGGGAGCAGTGCTTGAGATTATACGGATTAGTGGGAAAGAGACCTGAAACCAAACCCACCCTTGCCAGTGATAGTCTCAGCTCACCTACTAAATCAGTGAAGGGCATTATCTTCTAAACCTGCTTGCCTGGCCTCACTTCTACCAATTTTCAGTAAAGTTGTTACCTCTAGGTAAGGAGACTCAGTTTCCTCCCACCGTGAAGTTTTTTCATGTACTTTCTCCTTTGAAACTTGGAATCTAAATTGCCCTCTGAGAGTCCCGGCAATAAAGAAATAAATGCAAGTTAATGTGGAAGTCACCAGCGCCTAGGTGCAATATCCCTCACAACTCATTTGGTCCTGATTCCCAACATGCTGAGCCTTGAATTCTAAATTTGCCTCCCCAGTCACTCTGACACTTGGGAGAAGGAGCTCTAGATAAGGGACACACTTGTTATTCCTGGAAAACACTAGTGCTCTTTATAAAGCTGGAGCCGCATTGTATTCTGGTTGATCCAGTATCTTGGTCAACACATGCATCAACTCTAAGCACACAAAATTTGAGTTTCTAAACCTGCAAAATTGAGGCCCTGCCAGAATCAGGGCAAGGCCTTCTAGTGCAGACTAGTCTTCTTGGCCACAGAGAATTCTAACCAAACTGTTCGTGATCCCTAGAGGACAGTGTAACATCCATTTTCCTTTAAATCTTCCTCTACTAAGAGTGTAATTTAAAAACATGGCTCCCTCCCGCACAAGCTACCTGAGAATTTATTTAGTTATTGAATGTCTGTCTATTGGGTAGCAAATTAATGTTATTTTTCTATAATAATCTCCTAAGGGCTATGGGGATATAATCGTGCCCAGCCTGAACCTTTATTTAGTAAGGTATTGTTCACCTACCTGCTTTACTGTTTTCATCACACTAATTATAATCTTGTTTACATGCTGCTTGCTCATTTTTAGTCTCCCTAAGTAGCAAATTAAAATCATGAAGACAGGCAACTTGTCTTCATTCATTTTTACTCACCACCCCACCCGCTACAACACCTAGCACCCCACAGACACTCAGGAAGTATTGGCTGCTGTGTGTCACACACTTTTGCTCTTGAGTTCAGAATTCTGTGAGGAAGATACAAACACATTAGTAATACAGTGTTAAGTGACAAGAAAGTGGAAATTCAGTGAGCTTAGGTGAACTCTCAGGAGGCAAAGCTGCCGTGATGAGTAGGGGTGGCGTCACAGCGGATTTGTGGTCTTTGTTTTGGATAAAAGAGAGGAGGAAGGGGAAATTTGTCCTTTTGAATTATTAATCACACACCCTGGGCCCTGTGTTCGGTGTTTCACACCGAGGCAGCATCATTGGGATAGGACAAAAGCTTGAGGTATCTGGTGCAGGTATAGTAGGTCGTTTGGTGTGGCTGCAGTGCAGGTGTATATACAGGGTAGAGAAAGGTGCCGGGGGAGGCATGTAGCCCCGCACTCCTCACGGTCTCCTTCCATCAACAGTGGTTTGAATCCTCGGGGATTCACGTGGCAGGCCTGGTGGTGGGAGAATGCTGCCCCACGCCCAGCCACTGGAGTGCCACCCACACCCTGCACGAGTGGCTGCAACAGCATGGCATACCTGGCCTACAAGGTAAAGTACAATACAGGTGTGTCTGGGCAAAGCACAGGTGCTTGGATGGAATGAATAAAAACAAGATTTCTGTATCCTACTGGGACTCAAGTCCATGGTTGTGATGGAATGTACCTCCCTTGGAAGGGTTACATTGGAACCTGGGCCTGGAGGAAACAACTGGGCTCTTGTTCAGGTGGAAGATTTCAAACAGAAAATCAACTCAGGGTTAACTGTACCTCACCTCTGCTACCACCCCCCCCCAGATTATTTTGAAGCAAATCTAGACATTATATCATTTCATCCATAAATATTTCATTATCTATGAAAAAGAAATCCTTTTTTTTTTTTTTTTTTAAGAGGCATGTATATTTATTTGTTTGTTTGTTTGTACATGCACTGGGTACAGTCAGAAGCGCGGGAGGGTGAGAGAATTCACCAGAGCAGAGCAGAGCAGGCAGAAGGACCGAAGTACACTGCTGAGGGGAGCAGCGGGCGGCAGGAGAGGTCTGCGCGCCATGTGGGACCCTCTTCTGGTGGCCGGGGAGCAGCCGGGGATCGAACCGGCGCTGCAGAGGCTGCGGGCAGCTTCGCAACCCAGCACTCAACCGCTGCGCCACTGGGGAGGCCCAAAAAGAAATCCTTTTTAAGACTTAATGATAACATACATTTTAAAAAGTTGGGCCTCCCCAACTTTTTGGGGAGCGCTGGGTTGCAAAGCTGCCCGCAGCCTCTGCAGCGCCGGTTCCATCCCTGGCCTCCAGGTGAGGGTCCCACATGGCGCGCAGACCTCTCCTGCTCCCCTCAGCAGTGTATTTCGTCAGTCTGCCTGCTCTGCTCTCCGCTCTCACTCTGGTGAATTCTCTCACCCTCCCTTCTGACTGTACCCAGTGCTTGTATAAATAAATCAATTTTTTTTAAATTAAAAAATAAAAATAAAAAAGTTTATTTCTAATATGACTAAATGTCCAGACAATGTTTAAAATTTTCCCAATTATCTACTTTTTAAAAAACTTTATTGAAATCTGTACTTAATGCCCACATATTATGTCTGTGTAACCTATGGGTTTTGTAACTTGCTTGAGGAAAATAGCACCCTTTTCCTTTTAGGGTAGCCCAGACTGCATTTTGTTGATAATGTCTAGGTAGCTTTTTTGTGTGTGTTTGGGTATTTTTATCTATAGATAGATCTAGAGTCGTGGTTAGTTCTGCTGTAATCTCTCTGACAAGAATACTGGGTGCGAGTGTACTTCCATCAGGACGGCCCAGGATTTTGACTTGGGGCTCTGGAGTGAAAGTGCCTCCGGAGCCTTTAATTCTACATTAATTAATTTAAATTTAAATTTAATTCTAAATTTGCCTCCCCAGTCACTCTGACACTCGCATGACTGGGTGGGGGTGTGACCTCACAGAGTGGTGTTTTGACAGGAGTGGACACTCGGGAGCTGACTAAGAAGCTGCGAGAGCAGGGGTCCCTCCTGGGAAAGCTGGTCCAGGATGGGACAGATCCTTCATCCCTGCCATTCTTGGACCCCAATGCCCGCCCCCTTGTGCCGGAGGTCTCCATTAAGGTACAGAGATAGCACGGGAGAGTGGGACAAGCTGTAGCGCCTTAGAAATATCTGCCCATGACTGGGATACTCACTTGCGGGAGAATCGGAAGAGGCCTTGGAAGAGGGATGTTGGTGTGCATGTATCTATACCGAGAGATCACAACTGCCAACCATCAACCCTATTTCTCTATTCCTCAGGCTCCCCGGGTCTTCAATGTAGGAGGTACCCCGCGGATCCTTGCTTTGGACTGTGGTCTCAAATACAATCAAATCCGGTGCCTGTGCCAGCGTGGCGCCGAGGTCACTGTGGTGCCGTGGGACCACACATTAGACGGCTGCGGTGAGTAGCTAGCGTCGGTGCAGGGCCATGGACAGGCAGCATGGGCGGAAGATCTGTCCCTCGGTCCAGTTGCTAAAAGTCAGCATGAGTTGCGGGGAGGAAGATGGCGATAAGGCCTTTTACTCTGACAGTCAGGGCTGGAAGTGTGTCTCTCACGTGGAAGGTTTTTGATATCGTCTTTCCTCCCCGCTGCAGAGTATGAGGGACTCTTCCTGAGCAATGGCCCTGGTGACCCCGCCTCCTACCCCAGTGTGGTGTCCACACTGAGCCGCGTGTTATCCGAACCTAATCCCCGGCCTATCTTCGGGATCTGTCTGGGGCACCAGCTGTTAGCCTTAGCCATTGGGGCCAAGACTTACAAAATGAGGTAGGACTTGTACAAGGAAGAGGAGCCTAAACTTTGACAGTAGAGCGGGACATCTTGGGAATGGAGATCGAGTTGGTGTTGAGAAAGGACTGGGTCAG